CCCACTGGTGATCTTGGGACTGGCACAGGACAATGATCTATGAAAAAAGAAAGAAAAGGATAAAAGTAAAAGTACAGGGCTAAAAATTAACTCCAGTGCTTGGTGGCCAGTTGGGCCAGTTTCCTTGAATTCTTAGTGGCCCATCCCAAAATGAAGTAGCCCTTGATTTCCTCTATTTTAAAATGAAAAACTTGATTAAACGCCCCATGGCTTTTAATGGAGCGTCAACTAAAAGGAAAGAACATATCACGCACAGAACTCTTGATATGTCCAGAGTCACATGGCAATCACAAACTCAAAATGGCATTTATATGCTGTGAATGTGGATCACTCGTTAAATCATTGTAAAAGCAGCTCAAGATTTCCAACTTCAGAACTAAAACTTCACCAAAATGGATGATCTTAGAGTCCAGGCAAAGAAACGAAGAGAAAGGTAGTCCAATTAAATTACATATTCAGCTTTATTTTTAACTTTGTACTTTGCATAATTTACATTGCAACTTTTCTAAATTCTGCAGCATAGTCACACATCGGGCATTCAAACCTTAACTTTTGGTGGCCCTGGTCAGTTTTAACTCGCCACTGGCGACTGTGCAACCGCCATTTTTTAGCCCTGAAAGTAATCATTATTACCAATAGTAAAACAGGGAAAGTACCAAATTGACTATTCCAAATACATAAGTATGACAAAATCATGAAAATTCACCTTCCAGGAAATAACTGTAATTATACACCAAGAAAGAAACAATGCAACAATGAACCAATACTTCATGTTGCAACATCAGAATTTGAATACTATCAGTAAAAGTGATAGATAATCTGGCATTGGACCACACAAAAAGTTCTATTACCATCTGGGGTTCAGTTTTCCATGTGGTGGCATAGCATGAAAAGTCTCATCAAATGATTGATGTGCATAATTAAAAATAGGGTGTAAAGGCATCTCTGCAACATTTCTGTGATGATAAAATGATTCCACGCAGATAGGTTCTCAGAGTTTCTGTTTTAGTGAATATGGGATGATGTTATGTTCATGGAAAGTAGATACAATTTCTTCCTGAATTTCCAAACAAACAAATTTACAATTGAGATCAGCTTTTTTTTTTTTTAGAATAGCATCTGTCCAACTACTTTTTGCTTTCACTTCTATCCTTTGAAAAGGATCAACCACAGCCAAAAAAACCTGTTGCTGTAAAACTTCCTTATATAACCACAACTCATTTCATTGACCCCTCAAAATATACAAAACCTAAACACAAATATCAGCTAATGATGATTCACAACACTTCAAGATACCATGTAAAACAGAAAATTATCATGAGACCCAACCATGATGATAAGTTGACAACAATATTGTTCAGAAAAAATTGTCATCTGGCCATAAAAAATAAAACATGCAGACTTCTCTAACATCACTTAGCACAATATAACTAATTATGTCAATTAAATGTGACTAAACTTTCAACAATTTTCCCACAATATTGAAAAAACAAAATTAATCAAAGAAGCCTACAGTCAAACCTGTATTGAGCAGAAATGTATTAAACAGTCACCCTTTATTAAGCAATCAGTTGTCAAAGTCCTGAATTTGTTTCCTCTCAATCAGTGTAATTTAGTATCTATTAAGTGGTTTTGGTCACCCTTTACCAAGTCCCAGTAGCCTCTTTGTATTGTCCTAGACCTGTATTAAACAGTCACTGAAAGTGGGAGCACTTTAATAAAAATATGAACAGTCTTTCAAGTAATTTTTAATCCATGTTCTCTTACAAAATAAAAGTAGGTAGTATTTTCAAGTACTGTACATTAAGTAGTCAATTATGGCATAAAGTGGCACTGTTAATTATTATTATTTTTTAATTCCCTTAGCCTGTGGGACCTGTATTAAGGGGTCACCCTGCCATTCCCCATAGCTGACTTCTTAATACTTGATCATGAACTAAGATCCCTGCCTGTGGTAAAATTGCATTATCTATATAGAGAAATACACATATCTATGAGCAAGCACAAAGAGAACTGTTTAAATTTACAATGAAAAAAATTAAACCTAAACTGTTTGAGTGTGGTCATAAATCCTTTAAAATGGTCTTTGACTAATATCAAATTACTGTCATCAATAGCTTCAAAAATGATAATTTAGCTCAAAACAGATCAGCATGGCTCTTTTGCCCATACAATAATGAACCAATAGCAAAAAAGATCCCAAATCCCTATTGTTTGACTGTGGAACGCCCTTAGGGCAAATTCATTAATCTGTCAGATAAGCTTCTTTGTCTAGTGATTATGAAGACATCTGAAAACCATTGCTACATTTCAAAAACAAACGCGATCGACTTACAAGCCTGTCAGAAAGAAGATCCATATCACCTTAATCAAGTGGTTTAAAAATTAGAATAATTTGAAAACGAATGATACAACTGTGCCTTTGTGACTGTGTCTGCAACTCAGAGATGATGTAAATAAAATTTGACAGATTGAATACTCTTAAAAATGTATCTAAAGCTGACGAATGGCCTAGGAGTGGCATAATTTTCCAGTTGAGAGTCTTCAGCAAACATCCGGTATTCGGGTTTTAGTAAAACATAAACATAGGGTAGATCTACATTTTTAATGAAGAATGGATGTGCGCTGAGTGAATATCTTGCGAAATTATGTCCAAGTTTATGGAGATCACAATTAAATTTCTGATAGTAGCGTGCTTGTTATCACAAAGCACCTGATTAACTATGAAATCAATAGTCTGTCTTGCATATCCAAGGTCTGGAAAAGATCGTAACGCAATCGAATTAGCGCTTTCAACATCTATTGATTTTAAGGAGATTGTCAAGTGAAGATTGTAAAATTAACACAGATTTCCTGAATTACCAGCAAATCTTCGCCAGGAAGGCTGGCTATTTTGAAAGTCTTTAAGCCTTTTCCTTCTCGTACAAAAATAATGAGAAAATAAACAACGTAATGTACATTACACAAAAATTTGAAATGAGATCGAGATCACGCAAACAAACTTACCTCCGTTTTTTAGCGGGGATCTTGGTGGATCTTTCAAGTTTTGCAGGGAATTTATCTTCTTAATATTCGTGGCGTTCGTTCTACATGTACGTTTGCCTCCTGCGGTGTCCACATTTAAGTTGTTCGTTTTAAAAAAGAACTGTGAATTGTTCTCGCTGAGCGAAGATTGCAGAGCCGTCAGATGTCGTTTCACTTCGAAAAAATCAGCTTCCAATTCCTTCAGCTGTACGTCTTTCAGTTCCAACTGTGATTTTAAGCTATCGGTTTCTCTTAATAGATCGCATCGCTCCTTATCCCAAGTCCGCTTTTCGCTCTCCAGGCGCTTAATTCGTTCTTCACCTTCTAACATCCGTTGTTCATAATTCTGAATAAATTCTCTAAGTTCTGTTTCCTTTACCTCCAATATTCCATAAACCTGCTTCATTTGATTAAGTAAATCCATTTTTTCCGTTTTCAAACGTTTCCTTTCCATTTTCATACAAGAAATCGTTTCTTTAGCTCGAGCAATTTCGAGTTCACAAGAATGGAGCCTTTGCCGAAGCTGATCTAAGTCTGTGTTTCCATTTCTCCATTCGTTGAGTTCTCTGGTTAAAAACTCGTTTTCACACCGTAATCTATCATTGTCTTCTTTATAATCTTCTACTATACTCTTAGACGATCCAGCACCATCAGTTTTCGTTTCAGAAGTTAATTTATTGCTCGCCAGCTCCGACAGCCTCTTGTCTTGATCTCTAAGTTCTGCCTTCAAATATTCCACCTCCCGATTAACCGCAGTAAGAGAACTGTTGATTTTAGAAGCAATAACAAGTTTTTCCTCCCTCATTCGTTTGCTCTCACCCTCTGCCTGTTCCATCAAGCGCCGCATAACACTCAAGCAATCTATTAAATCGTCCTGCTTTTTCACGAGTGGTCGTGTGACGGAACTGCCACTGTCAGTACTTTCTCCTGAGATCGTACTACTAAAAGATAGGGAGCGAACCCTTTCTTTGAGCTTGTCGACTTCAGCCATGGCCTCTATCGGTGTCAAAGAAAACTTGCGTTCCTTGGCGGGAGAGGCATCTGTTTTTCCCTCACTGTTTACGTCCGCCATATTTGATTTGTGTGACACTAAGCACCAGCAGAGGTCACAAAGACGAAATTTTTGGACGCCAGACGGTAGCCTCACTTCGATGGAACAATGTTTTATTCCACCTACCCCATCCTTACTGCACTTTAATCTTTCACGGCAGTATCAATTCGAAAATTCTTCGTTGAATGGCATTGTGAAAGAAGTTAAAAAAGTCTTCCAACAATTTCATCCTCTGTCGTTATTTTCTTCACATTGCTTACTATGTAGACTGATGAAAGCGACTGAACTCTATTCGCGAGTATTTCCTCCCAAAAGGTTTCCATATGAGACTTTTCTTATATGCGTCCTTTGTTATCAGTTTACAGTATTGTTTTTTTTCTTCTTCAACTTGAGTTATGGTAAGCTTTAATCAGGGTTTAATTTTATTTGATTCCCCTCGACATTTATCAAAAAGAGGAGGTGACAATCATAAATTAGAACGGCAGAATAGGGATTTTCATGAAATAACGACAATCTCTTTATTGCGTTTTCCTTTTGGGGAGCAAAAATTAGTAGACGAGTCACTGTTCATCATAGGCATAGAAATTTCAAGGAATTTTTGTCTAGGTCTTATTCTCCGCCAGTCCAGACCCTGTGTAAAAATACTCGACCCTACAAAAGGCAGCTAGTGAAGGACCCACAGAGAAAACGCGCAGAATAAAATGTGCTGTGGAATTATTACCATTGGATATGCAATGGGCGACAGAAAGGAAGAGAGGTATTAACAGATTTAGAAGACTTATTCTTTTCAAACAGAAAAAGTTGAGCCAACAACGGCAGATATGCCGAAGAGAAATCTACCAGTAGTAAGTTTAGATCGCAAACGAAGCAGTTGTTCAAAAGACACTTCAGTTGTTAATATACGACATGTGACATGTCGATAAACTTTATTTATTCTAATTCTGGCTACATGATAATCATGCTTCACAAAGTTACCTTACCCACTCCCACTAGAAAAAGACAAAAACCCAGACAAAAGAGAAAACCGTCGTCCCTTTCCCCGTCTCCAAGTCCCTATTTGACCGGTCTAGCTATTTCTTGAGGTGTTGATTGAGCTTCAGTCACATCCACCCTTCTTCGGGCAGCATCTGTAGCGGACCTAGAACCAAAAAAAACATCGAAGTTATTAAATCTAGAACTCCGCATTCACCTGGGCATTTGTTTTCAAATATAGTGCGAAAGGGGAATCCCTAACTACAAAGCATCTTTCCAAAATCTTAAAGCTTAGGCGATTAATTGAAAGAGGTCGCTTAATTATCGTTTACTTATTTTCTTTTGATATAATGTAGGTGAAAGCATATCTGTTTGCTCTTTCACTTTTTCAAATTCAAAATCAAATATTTCTTTACCAACCTCTAAATATTTCTTGGTACCCCAGCAAGCGTCCCCAAATTTGGCGACGGTGGCATCAAGAAGGCAATGTTCCTTGTCTTGACAATATTGCTTGGCAATAGCCTTGGAAGCCACTTGATGCTGGCAGGCTTGGTTCCAGGAAAATATTCCAAAGAAACCGTCACCACAGATGTGAGCACCCTTGAGACGGCCAAAGTTTGCCCATACGATGTCGATATTGCGTCTCTCAGGACATTCGAGTGACATTTTGTGATTTTCACATACGCGAGCTCTCTTGGTGTCATCTGGTGTAATCCGGCCGATACACCTGTATTTGACCTATAGGAACAAAATTTATACAATGCGTTTACTGATGCTATTAATAAAAACCTCATCATCTAGTTTTAGGTCCCTTTTTGAAAAAGTCCATGATACTCAACTTGTTCTGAGTTTCTCACTCCGCAGTGATGAATCGAAATGTTTTGTTCAGGTTCCTATGAATTCTTTTTGGTCTGGCCACAAACATTTTAGTTATCTAATAACGTTTACGCGTACTGAGCCGGAGGAGTTTGCAATTTCTTAGGCGACACTTTAACAATGAATAAATTTGTGTTGACTAAGTTCAGTCCACAAAGACACTTCTAATGTACAAGGCACATGCACCCGTGAAAAAATATTTGGTAAATAAACCGGTCTCTTCAGGCGACTGCTATGTCGGCTGATAATGTCCGCGGTTAAAAGATTGTCCCGAAAATGAATAGTTGGCAGAGAAGCGAAGCTTGAGGGCAAATGTGAAATTGAATGCGCAAATGTTTTTTTTGTTCTTTCCAGAGTAGTATTTGAGATTAGCTTTATTTGAAATGGCTCTTTAACTGGACTCTACAAAACGAGTTGGTTTTTCTTCCCTGTAAAGTAACAAAGATGAAAGAGTGACACTCAAGCTGGCTTTTTCAACTAGGTTTGTTTCTTTTCGAAGAAGAGTAACGTAAATGAGAGCTCTTACGTCATAAATATTTAGTGATTTTGTTCCACGTGACGTAAAGTAGCCAATAGAGTCGTAATAACATTAATGCTGAGTCATAAACATAGATAAAAACATAAATGCATATACAATATATATATATATCCATATATACGAGAACAAATGTGTTGAAAGTTTGTTACGAGTGCGGAACAGAAAAACACTTCTTAGTCCTATTTAAAGAGATAAATCACAGACCTTTGGGTTTAAGAGCAACAAATTATGTTTTCGAAAACCGTACGTAAAAATAAACGATTATTTACCGTGAGATATTTCTTCGTTCCGAAGCACGGGTCTCCGTATTCTGCGTTGTTGGCATGCAACTCGCATTCGGACAGGGTTTCACATTCATTTTTAACAATAGCTAATGTATTAGCTGCGCGGCAGTTGACATTCCATAACCAAGCAACCGTCCAATCCAATCCCCACTGACACACGGAGCGGTCTGTTCTTCCATAGACTGCAGAAATGATCTGAATCTTTTGATGTGTGCACCTGATTTTTTGCTTCCCTCCTTCACAAACAAGGGCGCTTCTTACTGTGAAAAACAGGAGAAATACAGAGAAATACATATACCAGCTACAGAAGATTGTATAAAAAAGCCCCTAAAGGTCAACCAAGCTAAATTGCATCAAAGCAGTCACTGCTTTGATGCTATTAAGCTCAGTTGACCCGCGTTTCTCAAACTGACCAACTTCATTCATAACTTAACGCGTGTTGCTTGTCCTTGTCTTCCACGTTTTCTCTTAGTAATTTTGATGTCATGTTCTCGGTGCCATCACTCTTCTCTCCATGGTGGAGGAATATTATGATTAACTCTGGCGACTTACATCAAGATTGGCACGCTCATGATTGATAATCTTAGAAAGTCGTTTTGATAAAAACTTCTTATTTTCGTTGCTTGGATTGAAACTTGCGCACAAGTCCTTAAGGATAATTACGTAATCAGACCATGATTTCAATACTTGAAGAGGTCCTCATAATTTTCTGATAAAAATTATTTGACGGAATCAGTTTAGATACTTTATGGGTTGACTTTATAACACGCACAATAGGAAAAATGTTCCATAACTTTGCACAGGCATATGAGGGTCCGATAATCATAGGTGCCCGATGAGTGTTAGAAATATTAAAGGCGAGATGCGGGATGAAAATAGAAGGGTACGAACGGGATATGCTCTGTTTCGAAGGCGGGATAGGATGGTCGTAGCCGAGATCAAAATTCAACTCAAATTATGGGTTACACGACCTAAGAAACATCAAAAAGTATTTATTTGCTTTATAAACGGGCTTAAATTAGTAATCCCAATAAACCGCGTATGAAATGACACAGCCTACGTGTCGCTGAGATTTTCTTTGGCTTCAACACGTATTTTAACGCATTTTAAAGCTCGGTTTTGCCTCATGAGAGTTATGAGAAATGATAGTACATTATCAATATTATAATGACTATAATTTGTCCATCAGTTTAAATAAGGCGGTGAACTTGAACAACATGGGCAGGGATCGGCGGCATAGAATAAAAGGCGGAATCGGGATGAAAATGTTCATTGCGGTGGGATGGCGGGATGGAATGAAAAATTGAGGCGAGACAAGGAATTGACAAAGTCTATTTTGGAGCCTCGCATATTATAACTGATTTAGATCCTCCTCTTCGAATGCAGCTAAGATATAACATATTCAAGTACTTGCCTTCTTGTGTAGGCCAAGCTTGTGTATAACAGAAGGTTATCATCTTACAAAATCTTTTTGATAAAAACTTTTTATTTTCGTTGCTCGGATTGAAACTTGCGCACAAGTCCTTAAGGATAATTACATAATCAAACCGTGATAATTTTCTAATAAAAATTATTCGATGGAATCATTTTAGACACTTTATGGGTTGACTTTATAACACGCACAATAGGAAAGATGTTCCATAACTTTGCACAGGCATATGAGGGTCCGATAATCATAGGTGCCCGATGAGGGTTAGTAATATTAAAGGCAAGATGCGGGATGAAAATAGGAAGGTACGAACGGGATATGCTCTGTTTCGAAGGCGGGATAGGATGGTCGTAGCCGAGATCATAATTCAGCTCAAGTTATTGGCTACACGACCTAAGAAACATCAAAAACTATTTATTTGCTTTATAAACGGGCTTAAATTAGTAATCCCAATAAACCGCGTATGAAATGACACAGCCTACGTGTCGCTGAGATTTTCTTTGGCTTCAACACGTATTTTAACGCATTTTAAAGCTCGGTTTTGCCTCATGAGAGTTATGAGAAATGAGAGTACATTATCAATATTATAATGACTATAATTTGTCCATCAGTTTAAATAAGGCGGTGAACTTGAACAACATGGGCAGGGATCAGCGTCATAGAACTGATAAAAGGCGGGATCGGGATGAAAATGTTCTTTGCGGTGGGATGGCGGGATGGTATGAAAAATTGAGGCGCGACACGGAATTGACAAAGTCTATTTTGGAGCCTCGCATATTATAACTGATTTAGATCCTCCTCTTCGAATGCAGCTAAGATATAACATATTCAAGTACTTGCCTTCTTGTGTAGGCCAAGCTTGTGTATAACAGAAGGTTGAAGACAATAAGAGAACCACTAAGTACATCCTCATTGTAGTGGTAAATTCGACCTATAAGAGATGAAATAAGGTATGATTGATCAATTTTGCTTCAATAGAAATGATGACTCACGAAAATCAGTTCAGTGGCCACGAGTTGTTCTTTACTTGATAGGATAAAGCAGTTGATATTCAGAGATACGCCTGTTTGGTTACCTGACCAAAGTGAATCTGTTCCCCCTACAGAGTCTCTCTTTACTATCTTTGTTTTTTTCTTCCAATGACTTTTGTCCATGCCTTAATAGGCATGGACAAAAATATTCATATTCAATATTCATATCATGATTAATGAATTTTGTTTATGTTTAAATTGTGCAAACAAGTTATACCTTATATTTGTATTTTTAAAAACAAACGTCTGTCGGCTTTCTTTTTGACAAATCACTTTTCCACAACCATGTGGTTCAAGAGAAGTTTCCTGCTACTGAAATGTACAAATTCTCTGATCTTACCAAATTTAACCATGGATAGTTAGAACTGACTCGTTTTTAGGATTCGTTACTATTGGCAACCCTTTTCTGTTTGGCTTGGTTCATATTTGTCATTCACAGATCACCTTCTCTCTCCTGCCATGTTGAGTGACATGTTGTTATACCTGGTTTGTAAGGATCTCCTCACTTTTGATTTAATGAAAATTGTTTCTTGAAAGTTACCACATTACTATGGAACTCTTTCGTTTTTTATTTTGGCTTTTCACACGATTATACACGAATTAATGTTAATTGATGGCGATATGTACAAATTTTGTAACGTAACTGAAAAACAATTTGCCTTTGATGGTAACAGACAGGTAGCTCGTTCAATTTCTTTCTCCAATAAATTTATACGTCCTGAAATTATTTGTCATAGATCACAGTTCACCTTCGTCCTACACTGCGCTGAGTGACATACATGTTGTTATGTCTGGTTTAGAGATGTTTGCAGACTTAGTTTCTTTACTATGCAATTAGATTAGGTATGATTATGAAGGAAATTGCTCTTTGGGAGTCGCAATTGCTATTGAATGCTTTTACTGAAATTTCTTTCGAATTTGCAATTGATGATGAGGTGGAGCAAAATTTGAACCAAATGATAAATTTCAACATGATTTTTATTCAGTCTGGTGTAGAAATAACCTCTATTTTTAGAAATGATTATTCAGTAAAATGTACACGCCACACTCGACCAAACACAAAACGGGAATTCGTTTATTCGTACTGATATATTTTCCGTTGAACCACTTTTGTTGATCACGGGCTTTAAGGGGAAAAACTGAGGCAATTATGCTCTGCGCTGATCCAAGGTAATAACACGGGTAACAAAGAAGACGATCCTTTGACAGTGTGGTCGTCGGAAAAATTTTTCTACCTTTAACTTAAACTAAGACCTTACATTAGCCTTAGTTTAGGGTAAAAGACAGAAAGAACTGAAGAGATTTGCGAAATTGAACGTTCTTAACCCAGTCTTCTGTTCATGTCTACTTCTGATAACAAATTATGCCGACTATCTCATATTTTGGTTCATAGAGAAAGTTGTCCCAAAATATTTTAATATTACTTTTTGTGCTACCAAGTACGGGCACTTATGTCGAACTTACGGTAATCATGGATTAGGATATTAGTTTTACAACGGGTGAAACATACCACTCGTCAGGGAATCAATCAGAGTTTGAATTTTAAAAGAACTAAAAGGAACACTGCTGTGACAAACATGACTTGGAAATACAATTTTGTAAAATTGACGTTAAGAAACGTAAAGTTTAATACTTCCAATCAAAAGCTTTCAAAACTAAGGCATGAAGAACAAAATTTATGAGAATGAAAATGTAATTGCCAGAAAATTTCATAACGTAAAAAATGAAAACAATATTCTATTTTGAAAGAATTGAATATCAGTTGCTATGACCATATCTACATCTGATTCGATCGTGTGGGCAGTGTTAGATCTTTGCCTGTCACTATCGCATTCCCAGAGTCAGTAATAGGGTTTGTGTGCGGCATGCACCACGCGTGGAATGAGATGTTCGAGCCCTTTTCACAGAGTTTCAAGTGGTTTACATGTACTTTCTTTTTAGCTTAAAAGCGAGTTTGAATTTTAAAAGAACTAAAAGGAACACTCCTGTGACAAACATGACTTGGAAATACAATTTTGTAAAATTGACGTTAAGAAACGTAAAGTTTAACACTTCCAATCAAAAGCTTTCAAAACTAAGGCATGAAGAACAAAATTCATGAAAATGAAAATGTAGCTGCTATAAAATTTCATACGAAAAAATGAAAACAATATTATATTTTGAAAGAATTGAATATCAGTTTCTATCACCATATCTACGTCTGATTCGTTTGTGTAGGCAGTGTTAGGGTCTTTGCCTGTCACTAACACATTCCCAGAGTCAGTAATAGGGTTTGTGTGCGGCATGACCCATGCGTAGAATGAGATGTTCGAGCCCTTTTCACAGAGTTTAAAGTGGCTTACATGTACTTTCTTTCTAGCTGAAAAGCGTCTTTCAGTTTCCCTAATGAAGCTCGAAGGACAGGGTGTGTGGCAAGGAAATGCTTTTTTAATTTTAGCTTTCAGTGTTATTAGCATAGACTGGAAACCGAAAACTCCTCGTTTATCAAAAATTTCTTGAGGAAGAACGGGTTTTTCGCAAATATAAACTTTGACAAGGTTGCTGACCCACTTTTGAATTTTTCATTAGACTCAAGGCTGAGTCAAAGGCTGACTCATAGACTCTAATGCGGTTGCTTGGATTCAATACAGATCTATTAAAAACTAACGGAGAAAATCTGTTTTTTTTCCCTTGGACAGGTAGCAAGCAACAAGTCACTTCTCTCGTACTTTCCAATTAAGTTCTTGCGCGCATTCATAACTCGATATACGCATGGTGTAAAGCATGAATACTCTTTCAGGTTCTAAGTCTACTGAATCACTATTGCCATCTCTCTCAACGTGACATGTATTTATTGATGAATTCGTTAAATCAATCGGTTAATTTTTTAAATTCCCTCCTTGGATATACTTAAAGATATCAAACGAAATATTTCAATACAGATTTTAGGTGTTACTCCCTCTCCATAAAAGTTGATCTACCTTTATTCGGCATTTTGTAACAAATCAGACTTCGTAGCATCTCTGGAAATCTTCGATCAGTTACCACTTGTTTTCAATCCTCAGAATTGCAACCATAATTCTCTGAAATTCTTCGTTTCGTAAAATTGAGGAGTCTTCGGATGATTTTTAGTTTCTTTTCACTCTCAACTAAGCAATCGAGTACAGCCAAGTATAAAATATAGGAAACGTACGTTAACTAAGCTGTAGGTGAAGTATAAGCGAGCGTTAGCCCTTCGTCTGTTGGAAACTTCCGCTTTAAAAATTTTTGCAGTGGCCTGTTACATTATCAACTCAGTTCGTAAAAACAAATTATCCTGTGGAACCCCCCTTCCTCCCCATCGACGCATATGTTAGCATGTAGAGTGGTATGTTGCTCGCACCAATATAATCATATAAGCTCATTTGGCAAGTGTTATGATTGTAGCCTTTGCAAGAGCCTCGTCGAGTGATTTCAAGATTTATCGGGATGTGAAAGGTTCGCATTTATTTTTATTGTATAATTTTTACGTTAAAATGTGTTTTTTCCGCTCTTTTTCTCACAACGCACGCACCAAACAACGTACTATGAAAACAACGTCTAAAGTCTAATCAGAAAATACCCAATCATTGCACTGCATGAACATTGAGCAATTTTTCACGTGCTTGAATTGTATTCTACCAATCAAATTCCATTTTGCCACTTTAGACTTCGCTCCATCACACGCCATTTCCTTGTAAAAAAAACTGCATTTTATCACGTATTCTAACCGCATTATCCAACACCACTAAAAAAATTCACAGGAAACTTTATGCTACTGATAGCGAATTTTACACGCATTCTCCCGCGTCTTGACTTTTTCTAAGAATAAAATTCGCATTTGGCTACCTTGGAATTAACCCAGTCGCGTGTAAATTCCTTGTAAACAACCTGCATTTTATCGCGTATTTCACACACAGAGGGCAAAGTTCAGTTAGGCAACAACCAATCAAACAGCCTTCTTTGAAATATTATCCTCTTCTCTTGCTCAGTGTTCTTCCCTCGTACGAGATGTCTTTGGTTAGGGTCTATTGAAGATATAACAATTTCAGTCTGCTTTTCCCAGTAAAATTACCTGGAATTAAATTTTTGAGGTGACTAACTGTAGGCGAATAATTTTAAATTTCTTTCTGTTAGAGGAACGGCTGTAAGCGTAGCCTCTTTCGCAACTGTTATTTGGTCTCGTCCAACGGGAATTAGAGAGCGTTGTGCGACGAGACCAAACAACGGATGCGAAGGAGACTACAGTCAGCGTGGCACCGATGCACGTTATTTTTGCTTAGTAGTTAGAAAATAGAGACAATAGACTAGAAAATACCTGTGTGAGCTCAGATAAATTATGTTTTTTCTCTTTCTCTTGAAGTGAATTAATGCGATATTTTCGTTCTTGTGAAAGTTATTTTAAAAAACATTAGGAACACAAGGTGTCCTATTTCGACCTACTCAGCTAAAAAAAATAACTCTTGCATGCTAGCATGCCTATGTTTAATTTGTGCAACAGTATGATTGCTTCTATGTGGCAGTAAATCCTTATGATTGCACCAACTAGTCCTAGTGCGGAGTTTGGCCTCACTTTGCACCACGGTAAAAAGTCTCGTTTATTGTTTCATGAACAATCAAATTTCGATGGCAAACACCCATTGGGTAAAGCGTTTAAAAAGTTGTAGCCTTAAAGAAAATTGGTAAACAACCTTTCCTTGTAAAGGACAGAGATACAATTGTGATTTGAGATCCTTTCTCGAGCCATTTTGATTTACAAGTGCACTTTTATGGTGATGGAGTCAAGGAATGGAAATAAGTTTGATGATTAGTAAACTAGAAGATCAAACAATACTAGCTTTTATGGTATTGGTAATTAAACATAAGACAATATTAGAGGAATCACCTGGTCAGAAAAGAACACAAATCCGGAAGGTGTGATTTTTATTGTTATTTTAGGGGATAAAAATTATGACAGAGAGGAGGATAAAGTGATGTGTAATGTAAATCACTTTGTTTTGTGATTATTACATCAAATCGTAGAAATACGATTGGCAGTAAATAATTTTCTTTCTATACTTGTCTGTCACTGAAGACAGAAAG